GAGGTCTTTTCTGATTACATATCTATTTACGGATCAGATCATTTCCCTCCCAGTGGGCACACTGTGGAGCGGGCTGCTTCTCTGAGTGTAGAAATCCCTACCCTTTTACAAGTGTCTGTCCCAGCAGTGTAATTTGCTAATGGATGTGAAGCTAGCCTTCTAGTTTGATTATCTGAAATTTACTTCCTGGAGTTATTCTCCCCCTCTGTGGAGATGTAGTGAGTCCAGAGCACATTTACCAGTTTCAGATTGATTTTGAGAGTAAATTGCTAGATGATGTTATAGGTAGGCTTTAAAAGGAAGCAGAGAACAAATACAGATTGCAAGTTGAGAAGAGCTTGGGGCAGAGCCACCTCCCTTCAGATTGCTGAAGCACATAACCCTTTGGGAATCCGCCCCCCCCCCCAATAGTCATCAAAGGAAATGGTCAGTGTGACGTTTTAAGTGATTATATAACTCCTGAGATCTTTTTCCTGTGGCAGATTGTCTCCAAGTTGAAAGATGAAATCATCCTAATAGAAAAGGAGCGCAAGGACCTCCAGCTGCACATGGCGAGAACGGATTGTTGGTGTGAGAACTTTGGCATGTGGAAAGCCTGCATCACTAGCGGGGAGGTAGGACCTGTTACTTGCCTCCCAGTTGATTTCAGAAATTCGAATTTGAGAACAGAACTTCATTAGAGATAATTCAGACTGAGAATGGGAAATGTCATTGATTGTATTAGATAGACCACATTATCCTGCCCACCTCTTAGGTTACTTACTAGTCATATTCACCCGTGACTGGGAACAGGACTGCTGGATTGATGGGGATAAATCTGATCTCTTACCACTTCCTATTGAAAGTAAGCAACTGTTCATTAGAATGATGAGCAGCTTTGAAACAGTAATAATTAACGATCTTTATTTTATATTTACTTGAAATAAAAAAATGTTTTTGAAATGTAGAAATGAAAAATCAAACATGTCATTGTTTCTGATTGTTTTGACTTGCTAATGGCTCTGTTTGCTAAAAACATAGTAATTTTAATTAACCTTCATTAATGAGAACATTTTCCCTTTTAAATTAGAAAATCCTTTGCTATTCTTTGAGAGATGTAGGATAAGTGATATTCTTTTCTCTGTAAAGGTAATTTCAATTTGGGAAGAAAGGTGATTGCAGAGATCTGCATAGTCAGTGCTGACAGCTCCTTTCCCACTGACTTAGAGATAACAGTCATGTCCACTGTGTAACTAGAAGAGAAAGTTTCTGCGCAAGATAGTAGCATGTTTTGCCCTAGTATAATTTTAAGGCTTGTCAGATACTTGGCACCTGATATTTACAAGGGTCTGTCTACTCCTGTTTTCTTAGTATATTCCTGTCTTTGCCTTCATCCCAGTGATTTGATACATTTGTGTGCTGTGAATCAGGTTGACCCTACAGAACCTAGTGAATTGCCCCAGGAGATATTCTAGGCAATAATCTTAATAGGATCAGATTGATGATTTTTCTCCCCTAGAGCTGCTACTGTTGCTGTTGTTAGAAGGCATCAAGTGGAGTACAATTCATAACGACCCTGTGATCTGAACCCTGTTCTGTCCTGTGCCATCCTCACAGTCTTTGACATACTCACGCCCATTGCTGCAGTCAGCATGTCGTCCCACCTGATTGAGAGTTTTCCTTTCTTTCACCACCCCTCTACCTACCCAAGTATTATGTCCCTTTCCATGGAATAACCTCTTGCAGTAACATGCCCAAAATAGGTGAGATGAAGCTTCTTCACCTTTGCCTCCTGGGAGCACTCTCTATGCACCTTCTCGGATACATATCCGTTTGTTCTTTTGGCACTTCTTAGATTCTTCAGCAGTCTTCTCCAACCCCACAGTTGAAAGGCATCATTCTTTTTTCATCCTTGGTTACCGTCCAGCTCTCAGATGCACAGTACAAACTACCAACCTTCTGGTTAGCATCTGAATCCTTAGCCATTGTACCACCATGCCTGCTTATTTAATATGTTTGTTGAACATAGTTTGACCATGGTGTCAGGAGGAGTGAGTCCCTGGAAAAGGACATCAGCCTTGGAAGGGTGGAGGGTCAGCAGAGGAGAGGAAGATCCTTATCAAGATGGATTGACACAGTGACTGCACCGATGGATTTGAGTGCAGATGAGATTGTGAAGATGCTACCGGATTGGGCAAAATTTTGGTCTGTAGTATATAGGGTCTGTTGTATACTATGGGTGAACTTGACAACACTTTAACAACAGCAGCATTAGAGTTAAAATTCACAACCTTAAATTCATCTCTAGAATGAGCAGCAGAATAAAACATGTTCTACATGAGATGCTATGCAAACAATAAACACTACCTGGGAGCTTAAATACGTACTTTTAGCATGTTCATGGTGCTTTTTGGCATTCATTAACCAAGCTGCAGACGAATGTACCTTTTTTATAAAAAATTTTTTTCAATAATTTTAATGAACATTTACAGAGATTTTGGATTTCCATTCATTCATTGCTCCCCGCCCAGCCCTCCTTCCCACCCCAGTTCGCTCTTCTCTTTGAAAAGTAAAATAAACACTCTCTCCCTGGTACACAATCCCCCCGCACCCTTCCCACCACCCCAAGTACATTCCACTATGCAACCTTAATTGTGGACTTTTGTGATGACCATAATACCCTTTTTTGAGGTGAGGTTAGAACAGTGAGTCAGGGACATTGGATACCATAGAGAAGTGGTGGTAATTACTGATGGAGTTATCTTTGGGATCGAAATCTACGAAGGAGGTAGATTCAAAGCTATGTATTGTCAAAAGACAACAGAAGAATCCAGTGGGAGGAAAGTAACACAAACTCTATTGTTATGTGCCATTGAGTTGCCTGCTACTCATAGCAGCCCTATGTACAACAGCTCTGAAACCTGCCCTATCTTGAGCCAGTTTCACTGACTCCAACACGTCTACTACCCCTGCTGCCCAGTTACTGTATCAATCCATCTCATCTGAGGTTTTCACTGCTGTGCTGTCGTTCCACCCTGCTGAGTGTGATGTCCTTCTCTAAGGGCAGGTTCTCCCTGGCCACATGCCCAAGGTATGTGAGATTGAGCTTCAAAATCCTATCCTCCAAGGAGAAACTTAGTTACACTCTCTCCAAGACAGACCTATTTGTTTTATTGGTGGTCTCTGGTATATGTTCAAGACTCTTCTCCAGCACTACAAGGTATAAATTCTTCTGTCATCCTTAGTCATTGTTCAGCTCTCTGATGCATAGCAAGTAACTGTGAAACTCTATTACCCCTCTCAGTTTTGCCTAGAGTTGTCTTTGACTTGTTATAGCTTATTGAAATCCTATTCCAAAGACCAATGCTAAAAAAAAAAATAAAGGGAAAGCTTTATCCGGGTTCTGATAGTCCCCGTTGCTCAAGGTCTCTGAGAAGGTAAAGAAAATGGACGTGGAGGAGTCACTTGAACCTGAAGCATTCCCATAGGGGAATTTCTGGCGGGTGTGTGAATATCATGACAGACCCTCCCTCCTGAATCATGACACTGACAGGCTTGCCCACTAGGTGTGTGATCTTGGAGAAGGGTCAGTCAGTTTCCCCGCTTATACCTGTGCTTCCCATTCCTTAACATGGATAATATAACCTGCCTGGGCTCAACAATGCACTCAGAAAATCTCTTTTTCTTATTCATACACTTTAATCCTATTAAGCATTTCAAGTCCTACACACTTTTCAGCAAGTAAGGTTGTGTGTGTCATTTACATAATACATTGATGAGTCTTTCTCCAAATACTGATTGTACTTTCTTCTTCATTTAGTTTAGCTTCTTCAGTGATTTGTTCTATGTACAGATTGAATAGGTATATTCATCTTTCTTGGTTTCAGACCATCCCTTGCTGTGTTTGTACCACAGCTTCTTTGTCTTAAGTGTAGGCTTTACATGGGCACAGTTAAGTGCTCTGCAATTCTTTGTTTGCTCAAAGTGAGAATGACTTGAAACACTTGCTGCAGAGGATCACAAGCTACAGTCTTCAATGTGAGTTACATTTTAAAATCAAAGAAACAAAAATTCTCACCACTGGTCCAGCAGGCAACATCAGGATAGATGGAGAAGAGATAAAAATTGTCAATGGTTTAATCTTGCTTGGATCCACACCTTTGGCGCCATCAGCCAGGAAATCAAATAGCATATTGGATTGGAAAAGTCTGCTGTCAAGGACCACTCCAAAGTGCTAAAGAGTAGAGATATTAGTTTGAAGACTATGGTGTGCCTCACTCTAAGACATGGCCTTTTCAAGTCAACTTGCATCTGAAAGTTGGACAGTGAATAAGGATGACAGAAGAAGATTTGATTGTGCACACTCATGTTTATTGCAGCTTTGTTCACAATAGCAGAGAGTTGGAAACAACCTAAGTGCCCATCAATAAACGAATGGATAGAGAAGCTGTGATATAGTCACACAATGGAATACTATGCTGTATTGAAAAACAAGAAACTCATGAAATATACAAAATGGGTGACCCTGGAGGACATTATGCTGAGTGAAATATCTCAATCAGAAAAGGGCAATACTGCCACTGCCACTGTTGTAAAACAGGACTGACAGTTGGGTTTGGTGAGAGATAGAGAAAGATGGGATAAATTATGTATATCGCATTGAAACAGATGAGGGAGAGAACTGTTTAAAATGGATATATGATTAGGTGTTGTCATAACAGGAGTCCAGAACGAACTGCATAGTGGAGTGGACTTCCAGGGGAGAGGGACTGTATAATACTGAAAGAATTTTTCTTTTACTTTTCGAGAAGAGCAAACTGGAGAGGAGGTTTGGCAGGGAGATAGGTACAATAATGAATGAATGGAAATCCAAAGTCTCTGTAAACTTTCATTCAAATTAATAATAATTTTAAAAGGGGGAAAGAAATAAAATAAAACAGAATTGATTGATTTGTGGTGGTGAAGAAAAGTACAGAATATCCTATGGACTACCAAAAGAACAAACAGGTATGTCTTGGAAAGGTGCAGCCAAAGTGCTGGTTGGAAACAAGGATAGTGAAGCTTTGTCTCACATTCTTTGGGCATGTTATTTGGAGGGGCCAATCCTTGGGAAAGGACATCATGCTTGTAAAAGTGGAGGAATAGCAAATGAGAGGAAGACCCTTAACGGGATAGGTCAATACAAGCGACTCTAATGGTAGACTGAAGAATATCCACCCTTCCCAGTATCTCAGAAATGGTCAGGATGACACAGGATAGAGCAGGGTTCAGATATTGTTCACAGGGTTGCTATGAGTCAGAGTCCACTGAGTGTCACTTAACAAAGATCCCACTGAAGGGGAGCTCTGGTGGCTTAGTGAGTAGGTGCACTGCCGACTCGAAGGCATGAGGTATGACTCCATCAGCTGCTCTGTAGGACAGAGATGAGCATTTTCCTTCTGTGTGGTTTATAGCTTCTGAAAATTTGCTGGAAAGTCAACTATCCATCAGTTCTGACTCTACGGCAGTGAGGGTTTCAAACTCAATACCCATGTATTCTCTTCTTGTTTATTTTCTATTTATTTATGTTGTTCTTACGTGCCATTGAGTCTGAACCAACTCACAGCTGACGCTCCAGTGGGTTATCAGAGGCAGTAAATAGCACAGGAGGAGATTGTCCATCTTTGTCCCTCAAAGCAGCTGGTGAATTTGAACTGGATCTCTCTGGGTAGACAGCATAGCTCATTACTGCTAGCCCACTACTATAACTCCCTAATAGTAAAATTGTGTTTATTTATAGTAAGACTAATAAGGACCTCTGGTGAATCATGATCTTATATTTCTGTGAATGTGTGACTGACTAAAATTAAAATGTAGAAGAAATCATATCTCCTAGTGAAGAATATCAGGAGTCTAATTAGACCTGATGGTTTGTTAAGTCCTCAGCCTTCTCTCAGATTGTGGTCTGGTTGACACCTGTGGTCTGACTTCTCAAAATTGGGTTTTTTTGGTGGTTGTCAAGGAAATACAGCTAGAATTTTAAGTCACTGTGTTAGTTTCCTGCCACTAAGTAACAAGTAACAAAAAATCTTAATATCTTAAAAACCACCGTTTTTTATTGCTTCGTGGTCTGTAGGTCAGAAGTCTATCATAATGTGGTTAGATTGTCTGCTCAGTGTATCAGAAGGCTGAAATGGAGATGTGGGCCCAGGTAATTGAGTTCTTATCTGCAGCTCTAGGGAACCGCTGGCTTTCTAGTGCATTCAGTGTTCAGCACTTGTTGTAGGACTGAAGCCCCTATTTTCTTGCCGGCTGTTGGCTGGGTGACACTCTGAGCCCTTACATTTTCTCCACATCTCCCTCTCCATCTTGCCAGATGCTTCTTATGCTTTAACTTTCTCAGGTTTTCTCTCTGCTCATAAAGAGTTCATGTTTTCCTGTTAGGCCTACCCAAATAATCTCCCAATTTTATGGTCAATTAGGCCATATAATAAACTGTTAGAGTAAAATCCATCACATCCTCAAGACTTTGTGAAGCATGTGCACTGGGGACTGGGGAAAATCTCCGAGGATGTTTATATTTTTACATAACATTGTACCATATCTACTCGCCTTGCTTTTGATTGTTGGTGTTGTTCTTTCCAAGGTCACAGAAGAGAATGGTGAGCAGATGCCCTGTTACTTTGTCACAGTGAGTTTACGTGAAGTTGGAGGAGTTGAAACAAAGAACTGGACAGTCCCTCGAAGGCTCAGTGAGTTTCAGAATTTACACCGGAAGCTTAGTGAGGTACGAATACTTGTGAATGAATACAGGACTCTGCGATGACTGAACAAAAAGAGATTCAAGACTGTTTTTACAGATAGAGAAACTGTTTATTCTTTTTCCTTTTTCTCATTTTGTTGGTATGGAAATGTGACATTTTCATCTTGACATTTGGAATCATAGATCATCTAGTCTTCTAGTCTGGGCATTTCAGGATATGTGATTGTGTGCTCTTCATTGGAATTCTAATTCCAGTGCTGAAAGGGACTTACGGGCTCCTCTAAGCCCAGTGATTTTGAAGCTACCAATTATGACATTAGTAATATATTACAGAACTAGAAAGAGCTAGAATATATTAGTGTATCACATGAAGTAAGGCAGGTAGCAAAAATAAAGCAGTTGAAACCATGGATTCCGGAAATCAACTAAGGTTGAATACTAGTTCTACCACTTACGACCTGCATGACCTGGGATTTGACAGCCAATTTGTGTCTCACTCAATTTTCTCATTAATTAAGTACAAATATTAATAGCAGCTACTCCACCTAACTCTTGGGTTGTAAGACTCAAGGGATTGAATATACATATGCAAAACATTTAAAAGAGTTTCATCACGTAGTAGTATAGTGGTGGTGATGGTTATTAATAGTAATAGTGGTAGCAGCAGTAGTGGTAGTAGTCATTAGTCATAAGCACTGGTGGAGGTAATTGCTCTTTACCCCTGAAATTAAGTTCTCCAATCTTTCTTAAATTTAAGTAAAGTATCTTATAAAAGAAAAAACAATAGATGGAAATAAACAGTGGCTTAATGGAAGAAACAAACCTTATATATGTCCATGTCTGTCTAAACATCTCATGGTCACATCCATCTTTTCCTCATCTGTGAGTCATCGCTGGGCTCTTCTTGCTGATTTCTTTTGTATGAGGGATTTTCAGAGTCTGTAAATTATACAAAACGAGACTGCCCATCTTTCTCTCAAGGAGCAGCTGGTGGATTCGAACCACCTGCCTTTGGGTTTCAGTGTAACTCCTTACCTAGTAGGCCAGTTGTGGTGGTGTACTGTCGAGTTGAAACCAACCCATAACTGACCCTCCAGCGGCTTTTCAGAGGCAGTTAATCACACGGGAGAAGATTACCCATCCTTCTCCCACTGAGCAACTGGTGGGTTTGAACCACGTGCCTTCAGGATTGCAGCGCAGCTTCTTGCCACTGGGCCACTAGAGCTCCCTAACTCTCCATCGAGTGGAGATAATTGATAATTGCTCTTTACCCAAGCAATTGAGTTTTTCAGTCTCTTCTTAAATTTAAGTCGATGTTCATCATATTCTGGTGGCCTAGTGAAGGCAGGTAGTTTGAATCTTCTGGCTGCTGCTCCATGGGAGAAAGTTGGACACACTCCTCCTTTGAGGTTCAAAGTCTCTGAAAACCCCCTGGAAGGTCAGTTATGAATTAGTTCTGACTTGATGATTCATAACAACTATGATAACAGAAAGTACTGATAAAAAACCCATAGCCACCACTCAGACTTTATTTTTCAAATGATTAATGTGTATTAACCTTGCCCGCAAGGGTACTTTGTAAACCCTTTCTATCACTTCTTTTTGATTTTGTGCTGTGTTTGGTATTTTTTTCATTGTTTCCTCTCCCCTCTATTCCTACTGCTGTTAACCCTTACTTCATGACTTCTCAGTTTACAGAAATTATAGGTTTAGGGTGGTTTGTGACTTTTTTCCATCAAATGTCCTATCCATCCAATTTCTTTGAACCTCATTGCTACAGATAGATTCAAGATCCTAAATCTCAAAGGAGCAAGTAGAGAAGAAAGGTGATTTGTTGTGTTCTAATTATAGCAACCCTTCCTCTAATTTCCAGAACATGAAATCCTTCTCCAAGAATTGGTCCCTCCAGATAACATGTTCAAAGTCCATAGAGGAAAAAAAAATCTTGGCATTCTTACATCAAAGGAAAATTCTGGCTGTACTTTTTTATTAATTTTTAATTTCCATTCATTCATTGTTGCACTTTTCTCCCTGCCACCCCCCCCTGCACCCCCAGTACACTCTTCTCTTTGAAAAGTAAAAGAAAAATTCTTTCATTGTTTTACAATCCCTCCCTCCAGGTCCACTCCACTATGCAGCCTTCATTCTGGACTCCTGTCATGACAGTAATACCTAATCACATATCCCTTTTAAACAGTTCTCTCCCTCATCTGTTTCAATGCAGTATACATTATTTATCCCATCTTTCTCAGTCTCCCCGCAAGCCCGATGTCAGTCCTGTTTTACAACTGTGGCACTATGCAGTATTTGTCCCTTTGTGACTGAGATATCTCACTCAGCAGAACCTGTTTTAAGACAGAGTTGTTTCTCCTTCTGGCAGTCCATGATATATACAACATTTACCAACATCATATTTCAAATACATTATTCTTTTTAGCTCCTTAATTTCAGTAGAGGGTTAGCAAAGAAGAGGAAACCCTATGAGTTGAATTGACAGAGTGGCTGGAACTTTGGCTTCATACATACCTACTACTGAGGGTGTGGCACAGGACTGCACAGCAATTTATTCTGTTAACTTAGTGTCACTCTGAGTCACAGCACAATCAGGGCACCTCACAAAATAGTTACAACATTTTTAAAAGAGTAATGTATCATTTCAAGATACTAATATATTTTTCTTCCTCTACAGTGTTTCCCTTCTTTAAAAAAAGTCCAGTTGCCTTCTCTTAGCAAGCTGCCTTTCAAATCTATTGATCAAAAGTTTATGGAGAAGTCAAAGAATCAGTTAAATAAGTTTCTACAGGTGAGTGAGTGAAAAGTTTTGCATATGAGAGAAGAGTGTTATTTTGGGTATAAAAAACTTTGATCATTAAAATATCTTGGTGATTTTATTTCCTGTTCTCAAGGTTCATACTGAATCCTCAAAATAGTTGTTCTTTACTCAGCTTTCTTGCTGAAGTGTCCATGTGCGTACTGACACAGTACACATATCATGAGTATGCACCTTTCTCTGTTTTCACAAACTAAGCCCAGCCATTTACCTAGCACCTTGTCCCAGAAGCAGAGTACTACCAATACCTTTGGGCTCCCTCCCAGTCGCCTGTCCTCTCTCAGAGGTAACCATTACCTGGCGTCTAACAGCGGCAGTTGGTTACAGTTTGTGTTTTACTTTATACAAATTACATCATACAGAGTGGGGCTCTCTTGACTTACTCAGCATATGCTCATGAGGTTCACCGATTATGTTGTTGGTTTTGATTGTAGATTATTCATTTTCAGTGTTGGATAGATTATTTTCATTATATGAACGTGCTAAAATTTATGTTTTACTCTTGATGGACATCTGGATAGTTTCTGTTTTGAGGTTATTAGGAAGAGCACTTCTGTTAGCCTATTAATTCTTGTCTTTTGGTGGTTTGTGTTGAATAAACCCAGGGACTGGGATTGCTGGATTGTAGGGTATTCATGTGTTCATCTTTCGTGCGTACTGCCTGGGTTATTCAAATGATTCTTGTCAGTTTTGCACCCCAGTGTTTACAGTGCATTTAAATTGTTTCACATCCGCAACCCATACTTGCTTTCTGCCTTTTTCTTCTTAGTCCCTCGTGTGTGTGTGTGTGTCTGTGTGTGTGTGTGTGTGTGTGTGTCTGTGTGTGTGTGAGAGAGAGAGAGAGATATCTCATTATGGTTTTAACCTTTGTTTCATTTCTGTAGTGGGTAGCGAGCTTAAAGGCAGGTGGTTCAAGTCACTAGGTGCTCCACAAGAGAAGGATGGGCGCGTAGTTTGTAGCCTCTAAAAACTGTCTGGAGGATCACTAAGGGTCTTTTCTGACTTGAGTGCAATGAGAGAGAGATAGAATGTCTTATGAAGTTGAACACTCCCCATAAATGTATTGCCCGTTTAGATAGCTGTCATTGTGAAATGACTGCTCAAATTACATCTACCTTTTTGCTACATAGCCAGTAGATTCTATGCTGATTTGTAATTTAGTTTGTATTTTGAATATGAGTTCCCGTAATTGTCGTTGTTGACTTCAATTCATAGCAGCTGTGTGAGCAGCAGATTGAAACCTTGCCCTGTCCTGCACCATGAGTTCTTAGACCATATGAAGATAGGTGTAAATATCTTCTCTCTCTCTCTGAATTGCCTTTTTCTCCTTTAACAGTTTAATGAATGTTGGGTGTGCACATTTGAGTTGGAACCGACATAGTTGACCCTCTATCTGGATTTCAGTGGCAGTAATCGCATGAGGCTTGACTGCATCATCCTCCCACAGAGCAGCTGGTAGAGTTGAACCACATACTATTGAATTGGCAGCACAGTTCTTTGACACTAAGATGTTAAATCTGATAGAGTTCAAATCTGTTGCTGATGAACAACAACAAGCCAGCAGAGCTCAGTTTAATGACTGTTGTTGTTACTTGCTGTTGAGTCACCCGTGACCCATAGCAACCCCTATGTACAGTTGCTCTGAAGCCTGACCTGTCCTAAGCCAGTATCACTAATTCTAGCACACCAACCCCTTTTGCCCCAGTTACTGTTTCCATCTTGTCCAGTTTTGTCATTCCTCCGCTGTCCATCCACCCTTTTTCCTTCTTCTGGTTTACACCTTCCCCCTCTTTTTTAAATTTTTTTAAAAATTAATTTTAATGAACATTTACAGAGAGTTTGGATTTCCATACATCCATTGTTGCATTTTTCTCCTTGCCCACCCCTCCTCCCAGTTTGCTCTTCTCTTTGAAAAGTAAAAGAAAAATTATTTCATTGGTATAGAATCCCCACTCCCCGGCCCAAGTACACTTCACTATGCAACCTTCATTCTTGACTCTTGTCATAACCATAATACCAAATCATCTATCACTTTCAAACAGTTCTCTCCCTCATCTGTTTCAATGCAGTATACATAATTTATCCAATTTTTCACAGTCTCACCCCAACCCTGATGTCATTCCCATTCTACAGCAATGGCACCGTGCAGCACCTATCCTTTTGTGACTGAGATATTTCACTCAGCGTAATGTCCTCCAAGGTCACCCATTTTGAATAATATTGCATTAGTTCCTTGTTTTTCAATGCTGCATAGTGTTCCATTGTGTGACTATACCACAGCTTCTCTATCCATTAGTTTGTTGATGGGCACTTAGGTTGTTTCCAACTCTTTGCTGTGTGAACAAAGCTGTGATAAACATGGGTGTTCATATATCTGCCTGGGTGGCAGTTACGGTTTCTTTAGGCTATATTCCCAGTAATGGAATTGCTGGGTCAAATGGTATTTCTATTTGTAACTTTTTGAAAGAGCGCCATACAGCCTTCCATACTGGTTGCACCATTTTACACTCCCATCAACAGTGGATAAGGGTTCTAGTTTCTCCACAATCTTAGCAGCATTTGTTGTTTGCTGCTCTGTTAAATTTTACTATTCTTAACTTGGGTGAATGATATCTCATAGTTGTTCAGATTTGCATCTCTCTTAGAGCTAGGGATTTTGAACATTTCTTCGTGTATTTGTTGGCCATTTGAATGTTTTCTTTGGTGAAGTATCTGTTCATATCCTGTGCCCATTTTTTCAGTTGAGTTATTTACCTTTATCTTGTTGTGGTGCTTAAGTATTTTATAAATTCTAGATATAAGTCCCTTATCTGATATGTCATTACCAATCTGTGGCTTCCCTTTTTACTCTCTAGGAGAAGTTTTTAGATGTGCACAGGGATTTGATTCTTAGAAGGTCCCATTCATCTATTTTATCCTCTCCTGGTTGTAGATTTTTCAGGATGCTGGGAAGACAGTTTATGTTGTGGATTAGGACTTCTAGAGTTCTTCCAAGCTTTTTTTTAAATGAAATATATAGTCCTTAGGTTTAGTCCTAGGCCAATGATCCATTTTGAGTTAGTTTTTGTGTAGTCAGTCCACCCTTCTGAGCTTGATGTCCTTCTCCAAGGACCAGTCCCTCCTGGCCACGTACGTGCCCAAAGAATGTGAGAGGGAGCTTCAAAATCCTAGCCTTCAAGGACAGACTTGGTTTCACCCTCTCCAAGACAGACCTATTTGTTTTCTTGGTAGTCCATGGTATGTTTAAGATTCTTCTCCAGCACCACAATTTAAAGACATCAGTTTCTTCTGCTGTCATCCTTAGTCATTGTCCAGCTCTCTGATGCATAGCAAGTAATTTGAAGACCATGCCCTGGATTAGGAGTACCTTTTTCTTTAGACTGACATCATTGTATTTCAGTACAAGTACCTTGTGATAAGGAGGAATTTTTTTTTTAATCCCGATTTGATGGGCAAAATCTAACCTTTATGAAAGAATGTTTTAGTAATATGTTGTTCACATGTAATATAAGCAATCCTGGTGGTGTAGAGCTTTATGTATTAGGCTGCTAATTGGAAGGTCAACGGTTCAAATCCAGCACGTGCTCTGCAGGAAAATGATGAAGCTAACTCTTCCTGTAAAGATTTACAGACTCTGAACCAGATAGAGGGTCACCATGATGTGAGAGAGAATGGAGTCCACATCAATGAATTTGGTTTTTAGTTTATACATAATGTGCAAAAGGTTAATTTGTCAAATATAAATGAGTGGAAGTTAAGCGGACCTTCAAAGATGGTGTCCCCTGGGATGTAAGCTATATTCAAAATAAGAATTTATCATTGCATGGACTAGAATAAGTAGGAATTGTGTAAGCCTGAGTGAGTCTTTCGTCTATCTGCATAATGTCCCGCACAGAGGTGGTGGTGGTGTTGCTTTTGTTGTTGTTGTTATATGCCATCAAATAGCTTGTGATTCATAATGACTCATAATGCACAATATTCTGAGGCAGTCTCACACCTGCCCCCATTACATCAGTCACTGTGTCGATATATCTCATCCAGGGTCTTCCTTTCCTTTACTGTCCCTCCACTCTTCCAAGCATGATGACCTTCTCCAAGGACCAGTCTGGGCAATATGCCCAAAGTATGTGAGACAGAGCTTCAAAATCCTCTCCTCCAAGGAGCAACTGGATTTCACCGTATCCAATACAGACCATTTTTTGTTCTCTTTGCCATTCATGGTATATATTGAGTATACTTCTCCAGCACCACAACTCAAAGGCAGCAATTTTTCTGTTATCCTTATTCATTGTCCAGCCCTCTGTTGCATATTGAGTAATTATGAAGACTATGGCGTGGATCAGGTTTACCTTAGTCTCCAGACTGACATCCTTGCTCTTCACTACCCTGAAGAGATCCCTGACAGATTTGTGCAATGCAGTTAATCTTTTGATTTCCTGACTGCTAGTGCCAAGAATGTTGATTGTGGAACCAAGCAAGCTGATATTATTAGCAGTCTCTATCTATTTTCCATATATCATGATGCTACCAATTGGCTCAGTGGTGAGAATCTGCTTTCTTGATGTTGAGCTTCAGTCCATATTGGAGACTGCAGTCCTTGCCCTTCTGCAGGAGATGCTTCAGATCTTCCTTAGTCTCAGAAAAAGGATTGTGTCATCTGCATAACACAGGTTAATGAGGAGTCTTCCCCCAATTCTGATGGCATATTTTTCCTTACAAAGTACAGCCTCCCAAATGATCTGTTCCACAGAGAGATTGAAAAGGGTTTGAAACAGGACGCATCCCTGACACACCTCTTTCCTGATTTGGACCTGCAGTGTTTCCGTGCTCTGTTCTGATGACTGCTTCCTGGTCCAAGTATAGGTTTCACATGAACACTTGATTGTGTTCTGGGATGACTGTGCCACTGAAATCATAGAGAATTGATCTTATCTGTTTCATTTTATAAGAGAAAAGGAATATTTTTAGGTTCTGATTTAAGATGAAGGCATAAATGCCTTGGCATAGTTTTATTTACCTGCAGAAGCCTCTTAATATTGTAGATATATTCCAGTTAAGGGGTAATTATTCTTTCTTTCTTTCACAGAATCTGCTTTCAGATGAAAGACTATGTCAGAGTGAAGCACTTTATGCCTTTTTGAGCCCTTCTCCTGACTACCTCAAGGTCATTGATGTGCAGGGGAAAAAATCTACTTTTTCATTAGCTTCATTTTTGGAAAGACTTCCTCGTGACTTCTTCTCCCACCAGGAGGTAAGTTGTTGAACATATGTACAGGTTCTGTAATCTGTTTAACTTTTTGAAGGTTGTTTGAAGTAGCAGATGTTTGTTGAAAGCATGCTACTGGTAGGTAGAAGGAAAGCAAGTGCATCTATTTTCAGTGATTATCACTGTCGTGTTTTGGGGCACCTGCTTGTGTTGAAGTGAAATCCCTGTCCTGATGAAATCAGAACCGCTGGGGGTGTTGCTAACCATCACAGTAGGTCTTGTTGCACCCACCTGGCAGTGGAGGTGTTAACAAAAAATAACTAGTTTCCCAAAGGTAGCTTTCTTGGGGATTGCCTAGTCTGTCTCATAACTTGAGGAACATTTCAGATGTCCAGGCGTGTCACATTTTAAGCAAAGTCTAGTTATTTTTAGAGCTTTGGAAAGAATAAATCTTTTTTCACTCAAAAAATAAAATTTATGAACTGAATCTTACAGTGATAAACAGATAAAGGAAAGATTAGCTGAAGGGCAGAATAAAAGCTTGAATCTAACTTTGAAAGGTATTTTCAGATACTTGTGTTTAAAAGATACAGTGAATTTGAAATCTTTAACGTTAAAAAGACTGTTTAGATTTACAATGGTTAGAACACAGTTTTATTGTCCATTAAATCACTAATTGTTAATAGAGTGACAGTTTTAAAAATTAGCATATTTTCAAGCTTGAGTCACCCTTTTGAATCAAGCTTTTCCCTCAGGTTATATACACTTTGCCTTCTGTGTTGAAAGTAGATTTCTTTAGTTTTGAATGAAAACAACTTTTAAAGGTTTTTGTTTGGTTGGGGTTTGTTTATATAAGTGATATGATTCTGATGATTTTGCTGTACCCCCAGGAGGAGACAGAGGAGGACAGTGACCTCTCAGATTATGGTGATGATGTGGATGGGAGGAAAGACGCCTTGGCTGAACCATGTTTCATGTTGATTGGGGAGATTTTTGAACTTCGCGGAAGTAAGCTTCTTTGTTATTTGGTACTATTTGCTGGTTAAGAGACGAGCGCGCGCACACACACACATATACACACACAGAGTCTCTTAATATCTGTTTATTCTTTAAATTAATCAGTGTATTTATAGTCAACATTTCACTCATTCAGCAAATAATTTTGAGGGCCAACCAAATACTATGTTAGGTGCTGAGGATATAACGTTGAGACAGATAGTGCTTCTGTATTCATGGGGTTTAAGGTCTTAATACCCATCACTGAGCTTCACTGAATACAGAAAGACAGAAATTGTTAATTTCTTTTTATGTAACTCAAAACATTAAAATTTTATTACCAGAAGTTTTGCAAAAAATAATTTTGTGTAGAAGAAAAACTCTTGTTTTTGCTGAGGAAAGTCTCCACATAGCCTTCTGACCATTTTTTTTTGGTACCCTTAGAGCAGTGGTCCTCATTTTTTTCATTGTTGGGATATTGTGTTACTGTTGTCAAAACTTGAGGAGAGGATAGTCTTACTGGGAACTAGGGAGTGTATAATACTACCACAAAGTATTGTTCTGCTCAAAATGTAAATAATGCCAAGGTTGAGAAATCCTACCCTAGACATTTCTGAGGTCCCTTAACAGGACTAATAGCAAAAAGAAGAAATGAAAATACTATTTTTAAAGAGCTCAAAAGTGCCCATCCCCAAAAGCAGCCCTTTGGCCAAGGTAAAATAGGAATACATGGTTCTGTCTTGAGTCCTGAATAGGAATCTCTTCTTGTACTTTCTGCAGCCTCCTAGAACTCTTATATCATGAAACCTAGAGAGTCCAGAGACAGTGCCAGTTTCTAAAGGCATATCAGCAAGATTTGCAGGACACAGCAATGTCCCTGACAGGAAAGTGTTCCCCCATAAATGTCATGGTCTCTTTTCAATCAGATTAGCGTATTTTTCCTTGGGAGAATAGAGTAGGCTGAGAGTTGGGAAAAGAGGCTGTACAAGCATCCTTCTTATTTATTAATCCTTTAACATGTCACTTGAAGAATTATGAGAAGAGAAGCCTTTCAAGTGTTTTTATATGCTTGTGCATGTTGTTTTTGTTAGATGCTTTCAAGTCAGCTGTGACTCGTCACTCCTAATATACTTGACCTCATTGCTACAGTCACTGTGTTGATCCATTTTGTTGACGGTCTTGCATGTCTTTAATCATTAGTTTGTACCATTATTTAAGGAATAAAATGAATGGATAAGAACATTTCAGTTACAGGAATTAGTTATCTTTGAATTTGAGAGAATTGACATTGAACATTTTTGCTCCTTAGTCAAAGCTAGGTTAATATATAGCATCATCAGTCAATAATTTGAAACAATTTTTTTATATAGCCCTGGAAAATTAAAAAAAAAAATTAAAAAAAGATTCTGATTTCAGTGCATTTATAGTAAATGGGCTTTATGGGTGTAATTGGCATAAGCTATAGACAAATTTTGAACTACATATATGTGTAGGTACTTATTTTAGTATAATTTTTAAATTTATAATTTTAAGGAATATTGTATTTTTATTAATACTAGTTTATTTACAGAATTCAAGTACATTGTTTTCCAGGACAGATTCTTCCAGTTTCCCCTCACTCACCACCCATCAGATTGTACAACCCCATGATGAATGCCCCTCTCCCCCTGCACATCTTCATCCCTCTGCTTTCACTCCCCCCTTGGATCCTCATACTCATTCTATAATAATGCTTTTATATAATATTTGTCCTGTGAGACTGAGTTAATTCACTCAACATAATGCTCTCCAGTCCCTCTCAAGTTAGAAAATAATTTACAAAATCATTGCTCCTGCGTGCTGTGTGGTATTCCATAGGGTGAATGTACCATAATTTCTCAGTCCATTTGATTGTGGTTGGACATTGGGTTGTTCCCATGTTCTTGCGATGGTGAATAATGCTTTTATGAACATGGGTATACAAATCTCCATTTGTGCTTCAGTTCTCATTGTCTCAGGGTATATTCCAAGTTTGTGATATATATGTGTGTGTGTGTGTGTGTGTGTGTGTGTGTGTGTGTGTGTGTGTCTCTATATCACCTGTATCTGTATATCTCCCTTGTATTTAAAAGTCGGCTGGGCCCAAGGATCTAGTGTTACTTTATTTTTGGAGGAACATTCTTCTAAGTTGTACAACACTCCTCTGTAATTTTGCTGTACTGAAGTAATCTGGGTTTGCTGTGATGCTGAACCTTGTGCCATGGGGGTCAAATGCCATAATGGCTGCCCATGGTGGACAGTGTTCAGTGGAGCTCCCAGTTTTAAGACAGGTTTGGAAGCAGGAGTGGCATCCACTTCCTAAACCACATGCCTCTGAAAACTCTGAGCGTGGAGAAATGACAATAATTATAGAAAGGCTTCAGGCCTTTAATTCATAGAATCGCTATGAGTCTGGCTTGACTTGACGGCAGTAAACAACAATAACAAACAAGTATTCTAGGTAGTGGAATAGCTGGGTCATTAGGAATTTCTATGTTCAGCTTTTTGAGGAAGCACTAAACTGCCTTCCCAAATGGTTGTACTGTTTTAACATAATTTTAACAATAAATAGAGCCAAGCTAAACTTCAGAAATAAGAGTTAAATTAGGCAATATCCATGTTGTGGAAGAGTATCCAAATACTAAAGAAAAAATCCTTCAGATTTTTTTTCTTACATTGTAAATGTTATCTAGTAACATTTTCCTATTTTAGACAGTGATAATTTAACTCAGGTCACTATGAGCAGTACTCTATCCAAAATCTGAATCTGGTGTCTGATGTTTCAGTGAAATAATGCCCATTAAGGCATTAATCCCTCCAGTTTCCTGGAGTGAACATAAATTCAACACATTATTCTAGCCTTTGTTCTTGTGTTCTCTATGACACACTGAGACTGAGAGATGTGGTGGACGTGCAGAACCAGTCTCGGAAAGAGTAGAGCTGAGAACCCAGTGTCTGAGCTATACTTCATCATATTTGTGCTCAGAAGCATTTTGGTTTTGCTAGTGACATTTCAGAGGGAAATAAATAGACCAACATTTATAATGAGTCGTGATATATTTGCCATCAGCATGATACTAGCTCTGCTGCAGCTGCCTCTGTTGAGCAAATGAGCCTTTGAAGGAATGATGGGGCTGTTCCTCCTTGCCCCCAGCCCATGTGTGTGTGACAGTGTTGGGAAGGCTAGGGTTTTGTTACAGAGGGATTGGAAACAACAAATCAGTCTACAGAAAAGGATGAGTATACAGCATGTCTTCTAATCAGTGTCTTGGCTGTCAGACATTCTAGTAGAGATGTTTGTGTCCTCAGACCTCGGGTGTGTGTGCATCCCCCACCCCATCGCCGTGGTCCTCTCTGGCTGCATGCCTGCCTAAGATGATCAGTTCTGAGTTCCAGCAAGTATTTCAAGACATATTTGAGGCATGGTTCCAACACTGACTAGACTTTTACTTAGGGGATCAATAACACTGCTTTAACTAAATATTTAGATCCACTAAAAAAAATTAGAAACAATTTTAGAATGTTTTAAATTCTAATACCAAAGCTGTGATGATTTCTGCCCTCTTTTTGGACAGTTTTCCTTGTATGAAGATGTTTGTAAATTTGCTCCTTTACTGTTTTCTACCAGTTGTGTGAGCCCTGAACTCTTGGCTCCATTCTACCCAAAACAGAGTTTCTGTTGTGTTGGTAACTAGATATTTCAGTCAAGGGAGGTGAATATACAAATAGAAGTTTTAATTTAAATTTCAATTTGTGAACCTAAGGCAGCTTCACATTTGTCTGCCTATGTCTGGTTTATGTTCATTTTCTGTACCTATAAAATATACCACCATATTAATAATATAAATTTACAACAGGGTTTTTCATACAACAGCGTTTTTCATACATAATAACAGTACCCCCAGAGCAAAAAAAAGCGATTAAGCACACAACATCGCATCTGACCAGAAGGGGAGTAGTTTGGCTTTAATAACCATTCCTCGAGAGAAAGATGTGATCGAATGTCTACCATTAATATTTCAGGTTTGGGAACCATGAAGTTCCCTCTGAAATGTCACTAGCAAAACCAAAATGCTTCTGAGCACAAATATGATGAAGTATAGCTCAGACACTGGGTTCTCAGTTCTGGTTCTCATGAAGTTCTGATCTCTTTCTTAGCGTCACTGAGTCTGAATCAAGTCCATGGAAAACAGGGTTTTTTAATACCGTAAGAAGGGGTATCTGAGAGAGTTCTTACCTAACTCTACAAGAATTGGTGCCTATTTGAATTGTAGTGTTGGCTAAGAGTGTTGTATGTACCACGGACTGCCAAAAGAACAAACCATCTGCCTTACAAGAGGAAGTGGAGTCAAGGGGCTCCAGAGAGGCAGTGATGGGGAAAGTTGGTCTCACGTGCTTTAGGCATGTTGTCAGGAGGGACTAGTCCTTATTAAGACATCATGATTGGGAAGGTAGAGAGTCAGTGAAAGAATGGAAGACCGTCCAGGAAATGGATTGACACAATGATTGTAATGATGGCAGAAATGGTGAGGATGGCGCAGGATAGGGCAGGGTTCACATCTGTTATTCATAGAGTTGTTGTTGACTTGACATCACTAACAAGACCAACCCCCAAAGTATAAAATGAATTTTAGTATTTAAAAATGATTGTAAATATAAATATGAAATTTTTATTTTGTACTAGTTTTTTTAAACACTAGGTTTTTTTTTAAATTTTAAAAATAAGGGACTATCTGCAAGCTGTTATTCCCATGTGAGCAGTTAAACACATCAATTCATGAATATTTCAAAGTATTTTTCTGCTGTTGTTCTTTCAGAGCATTATATTAGAAAATTGGGTTTAATAAGTCATATAGAAAATATGAACTAGAAATTATACTATCTACTAGTGGTAAACAGACATGTTGTCAATAATCCAGAGATACACGAAATAAAACAGTATTTCCACTTTCTAGCTCAGCAGTTGTTTATGAATCAAAGACTGAAAAAAATGCCTAGATTTCATCTTTTTTGTTTCTAAGTTTCAAAACCATCTAAGGAACAGGTTTGAGGCCTTGAGCACCAGTGAGCGTAGACCAAATGAACTCTGGGAGGATATCAAGAAAATCGTCCGTGAAGAATGCAAAATATCATTACAAAGGCTGAAGAAGAAGAAAAGACCAAGATGGATGTCATATGAGACTGAGAATTGCATTATAGCGCCGAGAAGCCAAGCTAAAGGAAGAAATCAAAGAGCTGAACAGAAAATTTCAAAAGGCAGCTCTGGACAACAAAGCAAGATACTCTAATGAAATGTGCAGAGAGCTGGAGTCAGAAAATCAAAAGGGCTGAACTGGCTCAGTGTTTCTTAAGCTGAAGGAGTTGAAAAACGAATTCAAGCCACAGGTGGCAATACTTAAGAATACTTTGGGTAGAATGTTGAATGATCCAGGAAGTATCAAAAGAAGATGGAAGGAGTACACAGAGTCACTGTATCAAAAGGAATTGGCTGACACAGACGAATTTCATGAAATAACATAGGAGCAAGAGCCTATGGTGATGAAGGAGGAAGTTCAAGTTGCTATGAAGGAATTGGCAAAAACAAGGCTCCAGGAGTTGACTGCATACCAATTGATTTATTTCAACAAATAGACGCTGCCATCGATGTGCTCACTAAATTGTGCCAGGAAATCTGGAGGACAGCCAGTTGGCCGACTGACTGGAAGAGATTGATATTTGTTCCCATTCCAAAGAAAGGTGACCCAACAGAGTGTGGAAATTATCGAACAATATCATTGATATCACATGCAAGCAAG